TTCCTCTCTTCCACGAGGGGCCAGCAGTCAAATTCAGACACTTTCCCACACAGGATGCTTGTTTGACATGTTCATTTTATGCCTGTATGAAACATGCCCTGTTGCAGGCTGGGGCCACCACCCCACACAGACAATGGGGAAAGGCGAAACCTAGTCAGTGTGACTAAAGGGTGGGATCCCGAGCCCTAGGGCTGCATTTCTCCCCAACCCAGACCCATGCATTGAAACGACCCCAATTTCACATTCTGAGTCGACACTGCCTTTTCCTGGCCTTTCGGGGAAGAGGAGAATGTGTGGCCAATTTAAATGGCCTTGCCTCCCATTTCTGCTCCTCAGGCTATTTTCCACACTGGCTGAGTTTATAGCTTTCTGAGTCTTTATTTCTCTCTCTCCGAGGCTGTCCCTGACTCCACAGCCTTTGTTCTTGACTTAAAAGAGAATTAAGATTTCCTTGCTGCAGGTGAGAGCTTATAGATAAAAACGGGGAGGCTATTTAAGACCTATATTAAGGAATAGGATTTTAAACACAATACATGCCATCCATGTGCTCCTGTTAGCCACTGGGAATGCTCCACTTTTCTGGGGAGGGCCATGCAGACTCAGTACGTGCACAAAATAAACCCTTTTAACCTCAAAGATAAACACCCCCAGGATTGCAGGGATGGGAATTCAGAGAGGAAAGAGGCAGATACCAAGTTATCAGACTTTTCTGTCCTATTTTTCATTCTGAAGGCATCAGCTTTAGGATGAAATCCTGGCCCTAGTGAAATCAATGGCAAAACGTGCATTGACTTCAGAAGGGCCAAGATTTCACACTTAGGGTGCTTATGGGGCCCGATCCTGCAAAGTTCTGAGCAAACTCTTATTATTTAATAATAAGATAGCACCTAAGGGGCCCCAAGCCCATTGGGGGCTCCATTGCAATGTACAAACATAGAAAAGAGACACGATCACTGTCCTGAAGGTCTTGCAATCTAAAGACACAGCCAGATGGAGGGCAGGGAATGGGGATAAAGCAGATGAGGAAGTGGCCCTGTGAAAAAATGGGCCTGGTTTGATTAATTATATAGTTGTAGGGTTTTTAAGTGGCATTAGAAGTCGGGGGGGGGGAGGGGAGGAAGAGGGTGAAGAGAAACAGTCAGAGCTCGTCACCTGTCTGGCCATAACCAGCAAGCTGGGAGTTGTAGGGCTCCTGAGAGGTGAGTCTTAAGAAGGGATTGGATGGGAAGGAAGAGAAGGCAGTGGCTGTTCGGGTTTTCTCAGGGAGTGTTTCCAGGCAGCAGGAGAGAAAGCTCTTCTCCCACTGATTTCAGGATCTCGTAGCTCAAGGTTAAGGCTACAGTGTTGTCATGGAGGTTGCAGAAGTCACGAAATCCATGACTTCCAAAGACCTCCGTGACTGCAGCCCCAGGGGCTGGGAGCTGCAGGGTCCCGCCTGCTTGCGCAGTGGCAGGGAGCTGTGAGGTACCCCTGCCACCTGAGGCAGTGGGCCTCCAAGCTCCGGGCTGCCATGGGCAGTGGGGTAACCCACAGTTCCCGGCCGCTGCGGGTGACAGGGGGATCCCCGCAGCCCTTGGCTGCTGCTATGGTGGGTAGGGGGACCCCAGCAGCTCCCCACCTTTGGGAAGGGGGCAGGGGGACCCTGGAGTTCCCCGCCACCATGGGAGACAGGGGGACCCTGGAGCTCTGAGCCCCCATGGGGGGAGGGGGCCGTGGAGCTCCCAGCCACTCCACAGCTGCCCAGTCCCTTCCCATTTTATCATGGGTATTTTTAGTAAAAGTCAGGGACAGGCCATGGGCTTCCATGAATTTTTCTTTATTTCCTGTGACCTGTCTGTGGCTTTTACTAAAAATATCCATGACAAAAATCTTAGCCTTACTCCTGGTCAGTAAAGCGACTGTAAAACATTGCACCTTCTGATTCTGCACATCAGCCCCCTGATTGTCGTCAGAGTCACATCTGCTGACTTCAGTCATTCGGTGTACATTGTTACTGCTTTTTATGCCCATTTGCCCTGCAGAGCCAGCACAGCTAATGAATCTAGCCTGGAACTGAATTCTAGTCGGCTCACAACTCAGTGCCACTGTTAAATAAATGTGAACTGCAAAATCTTTATTACTGGTGAAGATGATTCTGCCCAGCGTGACTTTCAGATCCCTGAGAATTTGCAGGGCTGGCAGTGAAATCCCATCTTTCTACTTATAAATTGATCGACTTTGCTGTTGGGTACATCTGTATTGCAGTCAGGACATAAGTGCCCGCGTAGCTGAGCTAGTTTTGATGGAGCTAACTCACTGAAAACAGCAGTGTTGCTGCACAGACACGAGGGACAGCTTGGACTAGCCACCTGAGTACATATGTAGGGCCAAGGCTGGGATTGTACTCGTATTGTTGGCCGTGGCAACATTGCTATTTTTAAACGAGCTAGCTTGACCTGCCTTACATGAACATGGAGGTATACCTACATGTACTGCAGTCCTGCCTCTTGACTGCTGAATGGACACACCCTTCTCAGAGAGAAGAGGAAAGACGAATGCCCACGGGTATAGGAGGCTGCAGATATAAAAACAGCCTGAATCAATAACTATCAAGTTATTCTAAAATTGTTTTTGTCCCATGATTTTTTGCATTCTGTTAATTACAACCTGTAAAACCTTTTCTCCTGCTAATTATGGCAGTTCCACCTAGCAAACAGCATTTCTGTTCCCCTGTCTGAGCCCTGTGTTTTGAACAGGACTCAGACACTCATAGAGGGTTTTTTTTACAGCAACTTCAACTTACATTGCACCTTATATCAAACTCTTTCCCCCTGTGAGCCAGCACCAGCCTGCATCTGCAGAGAGCAATCTGCCACTTAACTGATGCTCTGGGAACCTTGTCTGTGTAGTTTGGGAGCTTGTCTGTGCACCTTTTTAACGTGCGGGAATGCCATCACACACGTTAAATCCTCACCCCAAGCTCACAGACCCAGCAAGCACTTTGAGCATAGCTAGGAATGGGCCCGAACTGCACACCAGACCAAAACCCTGCCACGTGTTGGGGAACTCCACGCCTGGTCTAAATCCCAGGGCTCAGGCCTGTCTCTAAAATGGAGTGGAGCCAGAATCTCACCCCAGCCCCCACTTTAGCTTTGGGGCTATTTGGTTCCAGAGCTGAGCTCAGCTGCCCAGCCCCATTCCACAGCATGACATTTCTGTAAAGGTGGGACTGTCGTCCTCCCCGTGCACACATCAGCTGCATTCCCAGGCCGGACAGTAAAACAGCATCTGCACTAATGACAACAAATGGCCAAACAATAGATACGAACAGATTTATTAGTCCCTTAGTGTGGTAATAAAGGGCTAGACTGTCACTTCAGGCACAGCCCTGAGCAAACTACAACAGCCCAAGGAGTAGCCGTAGACACAACTCCTCCCCTGCTTCCCCTTGGCCTGTACTACCAATAAAGGACTACTTTCCCATCCCCTGGGCTCGGTTAGCTACGCAGCAGGCTCGTGCGCACTGGTGTGGGGAACCAAAGCTTTCCCGCTCCCTGCCCCTTCTCACCCACCCCCTGCCCTTCTGCTCCAGGATGAAAGCAAATAATCCAGTTTATGTTCACAAACCTGGATCACAGAGTGTAACCCCTGAAAGGGCATCGGAGGGATTCTTACTCCCTTGTGCCAGTGTCTAGTCCTATGCAAACACACCATCCCAGTGAGTGGGTGAGATCAGAGAGCTGGTAAATTATTTTAATGGGATAAAAACTGAGGTCAGAGGTTCCTGTTTTCCTCTGCTGCTCTGGTGGGAAATCTCTGCTGCGTGTTTGTAAATCTCTAGCGTGGGGGCTAGGTGGATAGTGGGTTACTGTACTTGCTCTTCTGGAGAAAGCAACATGGGGCCTGATTCTGATCTCATCATTGCGGGGGGAAAACCCATGCATCTCCATTCATTTCAATTAAATGACTTTGGATTAGGGATCTGATCCACTGCCCGCTCAAGCCAATGGGAGAATCTCCGGTGACATTAGTGGTGTTGGATCAGGCCCTACGTCAGGTGGAGGCTGGGCCCCGGGGGGAGTCTCAGGTCACAGGGTGAGTGAGTGGACGATTTCATCCCAAGCCCCATTTGTTCACATCACAAAGCCATCACGCACACTGGCGTATTGATCGTGCTGGCAGCTTCTTTTCTTGGCAGCCAGGGTCCCAACATAGCAGTTCTTCAGGTCAAGAGGGAGGTGCATGGGCTGAGGCGTGCAGGGGAAGGAGTGAACTAACTGCAAGTGTGTGCTCTGTGTCTCTGATTCTCATGAGCACCTAAGTCACTCAACGATGTTTTTAAAGACAACTTGCTACAATGTTATATGTAAATTGTATTACATCTATGTAGCTGATTTATCAAAATGTTCAACCCCAAAGAACCTGATAACAGCGGCATCTTTTGGGTCCCTAGTTGCCTGCCAATGGCAGTAGAAAGAAAATCCTGATACATACAAATGTGGGCCTGCTCCCGCTTCCAGTGAAGTCTGGCCTTTGTCTTGGCCCTAAATACATTATAAATCCCAAGCCCTGTGTCCAGGATTAATACCACATAGGTTTTTTCAGTCATGTGGAACAATATCAGAAACAACAGAGAGAGCGCGGTGAGGCCGTCCTATCCAACCCTCCTCCTAATGCAGGATTGATCCCCATGCTGCTGGAGCAACCAGAGTGTGCTAGCTTTAAATGACTCAAGCGATGGGAATTTCCATCACGTCCCTTGGGAGAATACGTCACAGTCAAATTGAGGTTAGGAAATTTTTCTTGCTGTTAAGCCTGAAATTTCCTTTGCTCCATTTCCTCTCCGTTCCCCCTCTTTAAGCCCTCAGCGTCCACTCTAAATAGCTCTCCTCCCATCCGGATACATTTGCCTTTCTAATGCTTACCCTTTGGGCCTGATCATCAGCCTGGTGTCAATCGGTGTAGCTCCATGGATGTCGATTTACACCTGCTGAGGATTTGCCCATTGTATCCCCCTCAGATGTCATTTAGCCCAGTTACACATAGCTAATTCTTGGCAGTTAGTCCCACTTCCCCTCACCCCCAGCCCCTGAATGATTTCTGTTGCTCTGCTTTGAATCCCCTCCAGTTTGCTGGATAAATCAGTCATTTACAATGTGACGTGTCTCTTGGTGCCAGGCCCTACTGTAAAAAACCATGTTGGTGGAACATTCTAACCTTTATTCCCTCTGAGGAACAAATACTGCCCTAGCTATTGCTAGCTGCATCCCCTCATTAGCACGCACACTCCTGTGTTACACATGCTTGCCTTGCTTGGGGGGGTTCCTTTATTACTGCTGAGTGATGCAGGGTCATGGGGCCTGATCCTGCTGAGGTTCTGAGCCTGTTCCGCTTTCCCTGAAGCCAGTCAGAGGGGAGGGCACTCAGCATTTTAGCAGGATGTATTGAGCATCTCACAGGATCTGGCTCTCAGTGGGCAAAAGCACATTAAATGACTCCTTGTTGACATGACAATATTGACTGAGAGCCCCTGGAGTTGTGGGAATTCAAGGGAAGCCAGCAAAAATAAAATCAGGACAGCAGATCCCTTGGGGAAGTGTGAGTTTGCCCATAAGTGGGCAGTGTGTGACATTCTGAACCCCTCTGATGGCACTTGGAACTTTCCAATCCATTATCCCTTCAAAGGAGTACTACAGTATTCTACAGGAATGGCCCAAACACTTCATCTGACAGAAGGGGGAGTTCAGAGGCATGGGATTGCTACTAGGTTCTCTTTCTAGAATGGATTTACTTCTTTTTGCAGATTCACTTTAACAATTCTTTTCACACAGAGGGTGAGATCCTGGCACCTAGGAAGTCACTAGAAGTTTTGGCATTGACTTCAAGAGGGCTAGGATTTCACCCACGCTCTCCAGCTGCTTATTTTGCTAGGGCCAATTGAAAATGGTCACTAAAGTGTCAGCTGGAAAGTCCCTGCCTTCCCAGATCCACTTCAAGACTGAAGCTGCTGTTATATATAATCTGTCACTTCAGTTTCCAGAGACTTTGAAGTGCAGTTCTGCTCTGAAAAGTGAAAAGTGTAAAGATGGTATCATAGTTTTTTCCCCCCCACCTTTTTACTTTGCAATGCGTCATGTATGCACAATACAGTTAAATGTAATCTCAAACTTTAACCCACTTAATATTGTTCATGTTAGGGTGGAGGCTTCCTCTGATATTGTTAGTGTTTGAGCTGAACCAGTCAGATTTTGTTTCCCTAGGCCACTGAGTCTCAGCACCAACCCCCTTTCACCTTTCATCCTCTACAAACCCATACCGAATTTCATTCGTCATTAAGGTTCAGAAAAGGAAGGCTAATGCTCAGGTTGAACGGCCAGTAAATGGGTTGTAAGAATTCAACAGAAGGAAGCCAGCTCTCTAAATATCCGTTCTCTCTTTGGCCTTGTCTTCACTGGGGAAAAAGGTGTGTTCTTAACTCATGTAATCAAATCCTGGTGAAGATAAGGCAGGGTATAGGTTTCACCTGAGTTGTTAGGTTGAGATAGACAGTTGGCTTTCCTCCTATTCCTTACTTTGATCTTTTAGTACGTGTGAAAACTACAAACTTCCTTGTCTTTGTGAGGATTTTACTTCATGGTAGTTAACATGAGTTAAGAACTCACCTTTTTTCATAGCAAAGATGCACCCTTTGTTCATGCCTGGGTGTCGGGGGGAGGCGTCAGTGTGGGTAGGGTCTTGTTTAGCTGGGGAAATCTACCAGCAGAACTATACCGGTATAGTTATACTGCTGTTCCTGAATAAGAAATTCTGCATGGGGAGTTATACAGTACAACAACAGCACTATAAGTATACCGATACAGTTCTGCCAGTAAATTTCCCTGTGTAGACAAGCTCTAGCTGATGTGTTTGCTTTACATTCACTATATATTTTCAAGTTTCAAAGTAACAGCCATGTTAGTCTATATTCGCAAAAAGAAAAGGAGTACTTGTGGCACCTTAGAGACTAACCAATTTATTTGAGCCGTTCTGTACCACGTGGACATAGACACAGGGAGTCTTTGTCCCCAGTTCCTATCTTATAGAGATCTTGCAGCCAGAGATAAATGTGTTCTTAATGTGCTATTGAGTCTGAAAGCACTGTATATCAAGGGCAAATCCCAGGAGCAAAATTAGTCAGTTTCTGCTACATTACATATGGTTATTAATCAAATTTATTGTGTAATCAATGTCCAGAGTTCCCAAAGGTGAGGATTCTCCTTCAGATGTGGAAGAAACTGACTTGCTCATTGCATCCTTTCTAACAGATGGTCAGTTTTTTAATCTCTTTGCTCTAGTTTTAAACCCTGGACCACTCAAGTTAGTTACTTTTCCTAGCTGACCACAAACTGAGGAGACTGCTCTTCTAATCCAGAGGATTTGCATCCTTTTCCTGCATCTCTGTCCCAATTAGCCATAAGGTTGGTTTTTCCTTCATAGCTGCTGTAATCAGGACCTCATGGATAGTTTAAAGTGGTCCTTTGCTGTGAGGGAGGTCTATTAATTGCTTTCTTTTTGGCAGCCTGTAAGGTGTAATGTCAAATTTATAGGTATTGATAAAATAGGAATGTTGGAAACTTAAATTTAATTTTAGCTGCTAGCGTGTCATGGAGTCAGCTGATTCACTGTTTTTGTAGCCTGAAACCTGGAAAAACTAAACACACCCTCCCTGGGTGCCCTTAACAGCTTGAACTTCCCCACTCACAAGCACTCCAGGACTGTGTACAAACAAGGACAAAGGGAACACAGTCATGAATCTGGGAAAACCCACCAACAGAACAGATATGCATATAAAGAGTCAAATACCCTCTACCCCGCTTTCCTGTAACTTTGGCAACAGTCCATCCAACTGTCTGCCCACCCACTAGTGGGAATGTCCCACAGTCCCTTGGCTGCACCACCTCACCTATCCATCAAACCCCACTCACTGTTAGGATCAGCAAGTACTAGTCATCCAAGTGTCTCTTTGCAGGTCTGTCTCCAGTTCCAGGGGAGTTGCTTACCCAGTCCTGCCTGGAGAGGCCACCAGCTAACCCAGTCTAATGAAGTAGCTCATTACGGTGCTAGATAAGCAGAACACTGGGTCATTTGTCACAACAAAGTCCCCCCTGGAAAGGGAACAAGACCACTTAAGACCCTTCAGCAGAATCCTGACCGCTTAGAAATAAACTCTTTAAACTGATCTAGGAGCCAACTACCCCCAAAATCCAAGTTAACGTCTAGTTATGGTGACTCCTCAAGCGTCCTGAGAGGAATTGTGGGTAGGTAGTCTATGCAAAGGAAGAACTCTGTGGCAGCACTTTTTCCTTTTCACCAGTAGAGAGCTCCCCTCTGGAGCTTCTGGCCTACATTGGTCGTATGCTTCCAGCCTTCGGCAGATCCCATAGCATGGACTCTGTAGGAAAGAATGGCAATAAGAGGGGGAGGATTGTAGCTCTGATCTGGAATGTGTTCCTGTTACCACCTGACACCACATCTGGATAATTGAGCTGCATATGGAAAGATAGTGAAGGGGAGAGACGGAGGAATGAAGAAAAGAAAGGGATGGAGAGAGAGATGGAAAAGAAGACAAACAGAGACAGACAAGGAGAGGTAGGTAGGAAAGCAACCTGTTTCTGGATTTGGGGAGCGTACTTGGGGACATTTCTATGGAGTGTAGTACCTAATGTTCACTGTCTCTCTGAGCTCCTGGATGCTGTCAAAGTGAGTTAACTAGCTTGGGGATGTCAGCATCAAAGGGGAATGCATGCAAGGAGAGGCAGAAGGGACTCTGGAAAGGAGCTGTGGGAGCCAGTGGATGGGAGCACCAGCAAATGAAAAGAGTAAGGGAGGCTCAGCTGGAAGTTTTGCAGTGTAGTCTGTGCCTCCAGACAGGACCCTCCAGGTCACAGATGCACAAAGCTAAAAGCAGACATAATTCTAGGGGCAGCTGAGGATGAGCTGATGATGCTGTTGGCAAAGGCTACATTTTCCCATCAGATCCATGGCAAAAGCTCAGATAAACAGCTTAAGGGGAAACCGCAGTGGTTAGTATAATATATAGTAATGTGCCCACTGATGTACAAAGTCTCCTGGTAGTTTTCAGAAATACCTGTCACCGTTTCACTATCTCCACTAGGAGGAATGGTCTCAGTGGAAGTGGCCTAGCACGAGCTGCATACTGATGGCATACAGTAAGATGCAGAGACCCCAGTTCTTATTGGAATACATGGAAAATCAGAGCCTTCCACTGCTGTTGTAAGTTTTTTTCTTTTGAGTGCTTAATTTCACTTTGGTAAACCTCTATGAAAATGAATTTTAAAAGCAGTATTTGCTCTGTAGCACCTCTAAACGTCCTCCTTTTCTCATGTATCCACGTGGCTGGATGCTTTCCCCGATTTCTACGCTAGGGTACATCATCAGGCTGTAAAAGGGATGGGTGAATACATTTTGTGCTTGGACTGGCTTATGTAGTGAGATGTTTACTTGCAGCATATTATTCATCCACTAGTGCTTCATAAGGTTCCAGAGGGAGGGTGTCTCCCATGGTAAACAAGGGAGACAAAGTTGGAATGCAAGCTGTGTGAAAGCCTGTTTGCGTGGTGCCTGCCCACAACCCCCCTTTCAAGAGCCATGGGTCCTATACATGCCTGTCTCAACATGTGGTGTACCTCATCCAGTGTACCAAATGCTCCAATAACAACTATGTGGGTGAAACCAGATAATCACTATGCTTTCAAATGGACTCAGGAAAATGATAAAAGACAAAAACACCATATCACCCATGGGTGAATCCATTTCATAAAATGATCACTCCATATCTGACCTCTCAGTCCTCGTCCTCAAAGGAAACCTGCATGCCACCTTCAAACGATGAGCCTGGGTGCTTAAATTGATAACTCTGCTAGACACCAAAAATCATGGAATCTGTAACCCACTAACTCTCCTTTGTCCTATAACTGCAGAGGTATTAATTGCCCACTTCATTTTGAATGGTTTCTTGCAACATGTATTACCTCCGTATACTTAACAATCTGTTCCACTTTGTATTCAGCTGTGACACTTTGATTATCTTTCCCAGACCTGAAGAAGAGTGCTGTGGATCTTGAAAGCTTGTCTCTTTCACCAACAGAAGTTGGTGCAATAAAAAATATTACCTCCCCCACCTTGTCTCTCTCATAAAATAAATCTATCTTTTAAAAATTGGTTGCTTTAGTTGTGCTGATTTTGAAGCTTGTTGTTAATATACGAGGCTTCTGTTGCCTGTTTGCATTTCAGAATTAGATTGCTCTGTGCGTTTGTTTCATGCAGATCTTTTTTGAGGAAGAGTACATACACATTTTAAAAAACTAACAAACATTTGAAAGTGCAAAGTGACACAGAGCAGGCACCAGCGACAATGTTGACAGTACAAACTCAGGTTTCAGAAACTTTCACCTCATCAATTTCCTCTAAGAACAAAAGGAAACCCATAGAACTGTGCTGGATTAGCTACAACAGCTGAACCTCATCTTCCATCATTTAAAAAATACCTGTGAGGCCCTACTGCTCTTTCAGTTGTCTTAGGGGGAAAAATCCATCAGAAATCTGACAATAAGTACCAGAAATATATCCGCAGCTACCTATCCCTACTCCTGTATCAAACTAGCTCTCATAGCTCGGCTCTGGTTAAGCAAATACAGTCAAGACATCTCTGTTTTTTTGTTTACCTTTAACATGAAAAATAGAGATGCATGATATTTCCCTCCCTGATATCTCTAGTTATCAACTAAGCCACCAAAACATACTTGACAGAAGAAGGTTTCAAATGCACAAGAGCAATCCATGTTGACAGTGGGAGAGACAGAGAGTGCTGTCGGTAAGGGGAACTTAGTTGCCACGGAACTCACTGTGACATAGAAGCTTGCTAAAATCCAATGTGCAGTTTTTTTTAAAATGTGCTGTCCCTTTTATGCCGGCTGATTAGATCTCTAGAAGGGATTGGGGAGCAGCTGCAGGATGCTCCTGGTGATGCCACAAGACACTCAATTTGCTGCTGAGCTCCTCAGTCATAGAAATTAGAGACAGAAAAGACCTATTGGCTATTTCATCCTTCCCCCGGGGGCTAGGGAAAGATGGGTCCTTGCAGTTTGTGCTCCAGCTGTTCCCTGCTGCCAGAACTTTCCACCACAGGTCAGTTTGGCTTCATGGCATGAGTCACAAGTTATTTTCTTCTTGGCTAATGGAGATGTATCATTCCTGTACGGAGAGCAGAAGATGTGCCATGGAAGAGATGTTCCTTCCTCCTTCTGCGAGAGCCACTGGAGTAGGATATCATCTCTCCATTCAGGGTAGCAGAGAGGTCTGTCATCCAAGGACGTTCAAAAGCAGCTCTCCACAGGCGCACGGAACAAGCTTCCCCCCATGACAGGTCTATTAACGAAATCTCTTGAGGAGCCAATACCACTGATACCCTTCCCCACTGGAGAGGAGCTAAACCCCCTGCTCTTCTTTGTCATGGTTTGTTGCATCTTTCACTAACACCTCATAATGCGTACTTTCTCCCAGTCTCCACATCCCAGGAGCTCTTGGGCCTGCATTACTACATTACTGAGGCTACCCATAATGCTTTTCACCAGTGTCCAAGTGTTTATTCCTGTGCTTAACTGTTTTATCCTCTTGCCATTTTCTCTAATGCTCCTCTGGGAGGGTCAGCTAGGCAGGATGGCTCTTATATGTTTGGGAAGAAATAATTAATCCTTCAAGCCTTAATCCTCTAGAAATACATCATGTGCTTCGAGAGGATTTTGCAGGAAAACGGAGGTTAACAGTGGGTCCCTGAGGTAACACATAACAGAATTTCATTGAAATAAAAGTTGATAAACTGACTTGGATGATGCAGAAAATGAGCCACAACATCAGACTACGCCTTTAGTCTGACGGCCAGGTCCTATTACTCACGTATGGGCCTGAGGCTAATAATGATCAGGAGCTTTTAAATCCCTGAGGCAGGAAACTAACGGACGTTGTGCAGACAACATGAGCAAAGAGCAAAGATGTACTTAGTGTCCCTCTGAGGCTCCCGCAGTCACACTGACTGATCCAGTTCAGATGGAAGTGCTAAACTCTGTCATCGCTGGGGTGAAGCATTACAAAACTGTAGGCTGCCTAAAGCAAACTGCTAGGGTGGGGGTGCTGCAGAGAGGCATACGGTACACTCTGGAAGTGCACAAGTCAGGCAGTTAAAAGTTGTGCTTCTGTGATCAGGCCACTGAGCACAAAGACTGAGGCCAGGTCTACACTCCACACTTACCTCTCTATAAGTACATCGCTCAGAGGTGTGAAAAACCCACACCCTTGAGCTACACAGTTATGCGGACCCGTAACTCCCCGTGTAGACAGTGAGCGTCCCCCGCCAACATAGGTACTGCCTCTCAGAGAGGTGGAGTAACTAAGCCAAGGGGAGAGCTCTCTCCTGTCGGCTTAGAGTGTCTTCATCAAAGCGCTACAGTGGCAGGGCTGTATCCGTGCAGCTGTGCCAATGCAGTGTTTGTAGGGTAGACCTGCCCTGAGAGCAGAAGACTCGTGAGTCCTAGTCCCAGCTCTGCTAGTGGCTACCTTTGGCAAGTCACGGAAAAGGCATTCCTAAAAGCTGGGTTTGTGCCCTTTGTAGCTTCTGTTGATTTACAAGGAAGCCAGGAAGAGATTCTGGGGGGGAGTGTTATTACTTGTTTTTTACCTTAAAAAAGGAGAGTTCTTGCTGAGTGGCGAGAAGAATCGGAAAGAGCTGGGAGGCACCAGTAAGGGATCTTTCGTCTCTGGCTATCAGCCACATGCTAAGAGAAGAGAAAGCAGAGTAATCAGAGAAACGTTTCCCCTTTAAATACTCTCCTGTGTGACAGGGAATTTGACAAAAGGGGAAATCAAAGAAATAGCAAGTCCGGGGGAGAGAACAGGATGTATTGACAAATGGACTCACTTGCAGAAGCACCTGCACTATGCTGGCTGGAAAGGACATAGTTATGACAGTGGACTGGGACTCAGGAGATCTGGGTTAGCTCTGGCTTTGACTCCCTCGGTCTATTTAGGTTGTAAGCAGCTCTTCAGTGCAGGGACTTTCTACTATTCTGTGTGTTTGTACAGTGCCTAGCATAATGGGGCCTCAATCTTAGGTGGACCTTAGGCACTACAGTAATAAATGTAACAATCTTGGGGTTCATGAAATTACAAATCAGTGAATGAAAAAGGAATAAGCAGACAGCCATGTGGTCTTCCCAACCCTCCTCCCCCCCCCCCCCCGCCTCTAGGGCACATCTCCAAATTCCAACCCTCATAGCACAGTCCCTTATGAGGGAACGTCTCCAAAAACACAAACTTTCATAAGCATTTCTACAATAAACATTATTGATAATAATAAGCACACAGACAGCTTCTGAGGACACACTGAAAGACACAAAGGTATATTCTTTGGAGCAATTCTGCTTATTTACAGAGAAAGGACAAAGTCCTGTTCAGCGGAACACAACAGAAACAAACACGAGCAGGCCGTTTCCTTATTCACAATTTTCATATCTGTCCCTCCAGTCAGTTCTTTGCCCCAAGGAGCTCTGTTTCTGCTCCCTCTCCAGGATATGCTCACAACTCCATCTCGCCCTCTCTGCTGGCTTTCTCCTCTCTGGCTTTCTTACACACACTCAGCTTGCCAAACAATCCCCTTGCCCCTGATCAGCAGTGCCATGCAAACCATTCTTTTGGGCCTTGGCTTCTGTTGTTTTTAGTTATCACTACATAAAGGAGCATAATTGCTCCTTCGTTGATCCTGAAAGAAGGGCAGTTAGCACACCCAGGGGCTTTAACCATGTCTATGATAGTCTGTAGAGCAAGAACCCATTCCAGGAGCCATTAACACCTTCCAGCATAACAAGTACTTTCTCACAATACCTTTCAGAGTAATAGCCATGTTAGTCTGTATTTGCAAAAAGAAAAGGAGTACTTGTGGCACCTTAGAGACTAACCAATTTATTTGAGCATAAGCTTTCGTGAGCTACAGCTCCGATGAAGTGAGCTGTAGCTCACGAAAGCTCATGCTCAAATAAATTGGTTAGTCTCTAAGGTGCCACAAGTACTCCTTTTCTTTTCACAATACCTTGTGAGTCCTTTATCTCTGCTATTTCAAGGTGAGGAGGCCTGTTCCCTACATGACACTTATGTTGTGTTTTTCTCTTTCTTTCCTGGCAGAACAAATGACTATATAACCGTTGATCACAGAACATCCTGATCATCCTCCTCATCTATTATTGGGAGTGGACTACATCTACCCTGATCGAACTGGCCCTGTCAGCATTGGTTCTCCACTTGTGAGGTAACTCCCTTCTCTTCAAGTGCCAGTATATTTATGTCTGCATCTGTAATTTTCACTCCATGCATCTGAAGAAGTGGGGTTTTTACCCGTGAAAGCTTATGCTCAAATAAATCTGTTAGTCTTTAAGGTGCCACCGGACTCCTTGTTGTTTTTGTGGATACATACTAACATGGCTACCCCCTGATACCTGTTTCTCTGCTATTATCTGCAGGCATCCCGAGAGAGAAACGCGGAGGAGGGACATCTGAAGAAAACAAGGAATTGCAGCACTGAGATGAGGAGACTGGGGGAGGATGGGGTGAGTGGACGTGCTGGTTACTGGGGAAGCACAGACACATTGTGAACGGTTTATGTAGTGGTTAGCATTCAGCATTGTATTGCACATTAATACACTTAGTAAACTGGGTGGCCGCAGTGATATTCTACATCCAGTGATAATCAGGCCATAAGCCACATGAATAACAGGGCCCGATTCTGTCCTCACTTACCAGAATGTTAGATAGGAATAATTCCATTCAGGTCAGTGGAGTTGCACTAGCTTGTACCAGGATAAGTGACAGGAGAATCAGCCCACAAGTTTTAGAAACCAACTAACAGCAGCCCTTCTGCTCCTGCCCACCTCAGTGGGGGTGTAGCAGAGACCTACCCAGTCTGGCTTCACAACAGTTCACTGCCTCAGTTTCTCTCTCAGCTTTCCCACTGGAGTCACGGAGGTGACTTAGCCCTCCGAGGTGCCAATCAGTCCCTTCATACACCCTTGGTGGCCGGGATGGCTGTGTCACCTCACGAGGTGGCAGCATAGAGGGAACCCAGGACCACTCTCTACTACAGCCCTGGGACCTTAATCAATTTAACTGACTGCTCTGTAGCTTAAACTGCCCTGTCTTTCCTTCCTAAGACCCTCCCTATGCGTTCAACCTGGCTCTTCCCTGGCTGTCCTGTTGCTCTTTAATAGAATGCCCCCCCCCACCTCCCCCCCGTCTGCTCTCTTGGAGTCTCTCCCCATACTGAACAGGCCCTCTAACTCCGAACAGGTCTAGTTCCTCCCTCTTGCCATGGGACCCCTATACTCATTGGCCCAGATCCTCAAAGGTATTTTGGTGCCTAACTCCCATTGACTTCAATGGGGTTAAGTGCCTAAATACCTTTGAGGATCTCTACATTCCCTGTACCAGGGAGGCAGCTAAACCTGGTGGTGGTCAGGCTAAGGCCTAAGCCCCTTATAGGGCCAGCCTGCCTGCGACAGGCTGGAAGGGAGTATGGGAAGAGCACGTCCACTGCCTACTACCTTGGAGTGCCTCCTCCCTCACTCCCTGGGGAGAAGGTCGTGGGATGGGGCAGGGGAGCAGCCCCTTAGAGCCCCACCAGTCTCCAGGCAGATATCTGCACAGAGCATTGATTCCTGCTTTACACCTGCAGCTCCCCGGGGGAGAGGGCTGCTTTGGCAGAGGAGCTCATGGCAGCCCATGGCCGTGCTAAAGGGATGGGAAGAGGAGGCAGACCCCCACCCCCACCCCAGGGCTAACGCTTCCTCTCCTCTTGGCTCTGCTCCCTTAAACCTGTGCCCCTTGCAAGGAGCATTAACCAGACATACTGGGAGGTTCCTTGCACACTTTCCTGGGTCCTGCCTCCCCTGGCCCTGGAGCTCGCTACAGTCTGGCTCAGGGCAGTATGGTGCAGCGAGAGGGAAGGCGGGCGCGTGGGCAAAGTGCTGACCTGCCACTGGCTCCTGTGTGACCACGGGCAAGTCACTGGGGCCCAGGTTTCTCAAGGTGCTTAGTCCCTCCACGTTGAGAGACTGTGTGGATTGGATGACTGAATCCCTCTCACTGAGGCTCAGCCTCCTAAATCACATAGGCCTTGCAATGCTGAGCGGCGTAATGCCTGAACAGCTTTACAAATATGGTTCTCTCTACGCCTCAGCTCCCCGTATGTCCAACAGGGATAACAGCACTGCCCAGCCTCAGGGGGGCTGAAAGGATAAATCCAGGAATGGCTGCGAGGTGCTCAGACGCTACAATGAGGCAGGCCCAGATCCTCAAAGGGATTTAGGTGCCTCACTCCTATTGAAATCAATAGGAGTGAGGCGCCTGAATCCCTTGGAGGATCTGGCCCGTAGAGTTTGATTTCTGATCACTAGGACACACCCATCCCCACAGTGGGTCAATCAGAGCATTAAGAAACCACACTAGCATGAGCTGCCTCATTTATACGTCTCTCTCGGGTACAAAAAATTAAACCAAACAACCTTCTTCGTGCCCCTCTGTACCTGTGCATGGACATTCTCAGAGAATGGAGAATCATATTGGCCATTCCCTCAGCCTGTACCACCCGCCATGGGCATTGCCTCCACTTGTTCTGGTCAATAAACCGTTTGGGACAGGGAATTTGTCTTGTAAAACACCAAACTCATCTATGATTAGGGCTTCTGATTTGTTATTTTAACCCCTAAACCCTGATAAAACAGCCTGAGACAAAAGTTGAAATCAGTGTTTATCCAATAAACACTGGAAAACATTGGAAATGGTTACCTGTATTTAAGAGCTCATCCCCACAGAGCATTAATGTGGTTATGGGTGTGTGATTCTAAAGCACACTAGTATGTTGCTCGTTAATTGGTCCACACAGACCCTGCTGGTGCGCATTAAAGGTTCCTCAGTGAGCTTTAATGTAGTATGTTAACGTGCACTAGGGATTACTTGTTACAGTATATACAAAAAGAAAGCACACCCCACATCCCCTGCAATCACCAATTTTTGGACTCTACACAGAATTCACAAATTGCTAAAAATAACCCCCCTATAATCATAGAACTGGAAGGGACCTTAAGAGGTCATCTAGTCCAGTCCCCTGCACTCGTGGCAGAACTATCTGGACCATCCCTGACAGGTGTTTGTCTAACCTGCTCTTAAAAATCTCCAAGGATGGAGCTTCCACAACCTCCCTGGGCAATTTATTCCAGGGCTTAACCACCCTGACAGTTCGGAAGTTTTTCCTAATGTCCAACTGAAACCTCCTTTGCTGCAACTTAAGCCCATTGCTTCTTGTCCTAGCCTCAGAGGTTAAGAAAAACCATTTTCTTCCTCCTCCTTGTAATAACCTTTTACATACTTGAAAACTGTTATGTCCCCGTCTCAGTCTTCTCTTTTCCAGACTAAACAAACCCAATTTTTTCCATCTTCCCTCATAGGTCATGTTTTCTAGACCTTTAATAATTTTTGTTGCTCTTCTCTGGACTCTCTCCAATTTGTCCACATGCTTTCTGAAATGTGGTGCCCAGAACTGGACACAATACTCCAGTTGAGGCCTAATCAGTGCAGAGTAGAGCGGAAGAATTACTTCTCGTGTCTTGCTTACAATACTCCTGCTAATACATCCCAGAATGATGTTTGCTTTTTTTGCAATGGTGTTATGCTGTTGACTCATATTTAGCTTGTGGTCCACTATGACCCCCAGATCGCCTTTCTGCAGTAC